AGTAAAGCTAGTGTTCTAGACTTTTGGAGACCCAATAATTTGTTATTCTAATCTGGTCACTTGGAGCCAACTATCGAATGTTGGCGAGGCAAGTACATGTATGCAGGGTACTCCTACCGTATTCTTGAAGTATACCAGCATGTGCCACTGTTTTGACAGCAATTTTCATGTTCAAGCTGATTTATTTTTTTACCTCCAATTTTAATACTTTCTGTATTGTTGCATAAACAAAACAACAAAAAACTTCCTCATCCTTGGGGGGGGGGTGTTTAAGTAAGACAGAGCGTAAAATACACCGAATTGGATAAATGTCAGAACAACATTTTCAAAGAGATCAAGGGTATCAAAATCTGTCCATGCACATCAGAAATGACAGGAAATTGTCCTGATATGGATATGATTGAGCCAAGTGCTGGTGGGAGGACAGATGTACAACCACAGATGGAGGAGAATCTAAAAGTTCTAATTTTTTTGACATCTTGCATCTTCATTTCACGACCAACAAGACATGTAATAACTATCGAACTGTTTTTCTTTTATTATAATCCATTAACAACTTTATAAAACATTACAATTCTCTATTGACAAATTTTATTATAAATTCTGTCATCAAAACACCTTATATATCTTGATAAAAATTAAAACCATGTAAAATATCTACTTTTTTAAAACCAATTTTCCAACACAACTATCAATGTTTGACATAATTCAATAAATAAAACAAGGCTAATTACTGAGAATACATTGCTTCTCTGCAATACGAATACTGTGGAATACTTTATTTTCGCTGAAAAGGCTTTTTGGGCGTTTTGTATGGAATTTATTTTCACTGATTTTTGTTGAGTTTAATGTAAAATATAGGAAAAAAAGTATATTCGCTGGATTTTATTTTCACGGAATCATCCCTTCAGCGAAAATAAATTCTAAGCGAAAATAAAGTATTCTACAGTACATCTTTAATTTAAGAAATATTCATAATGTGGTACTCTACACTATATTAAAAACATGATCTAAGCTTTAAATTGTCAGGTGTGGCTGCAAGTTTCAAAACACAAAGTACTACATACACTTAACATTGTGTAATCTGGAATCTCATTGTTGGTTGATCCCAGAACTGTCTAACATGAGCAAATTAAATATTGCAGCATAAACCTAAGTTTCAAGAAGCTGTTGAGTTCATGGGTGAAATTAGACATTTTTCTGACAGAATCAATTTGATTCTAAATCAGTGAATTGGTCCACACACCTCAAGAACAGTAAGTCACCATGGATTGAATCACAATCTAGGCAAGTATTTACAAAGATTATTAATAAATTATAAAAGAATCTTTATCTGTAGCATTCATTTAGAATAAACTGTCAAATTAAGGTTTTTAAAAGTTGATGCCATAAGAACTTTGGCAGTCGCATATCACTTAAAAAAGTTGTTAAATTATTCCCTATAACAAAGAAAAAATGTGGGTTAACAGAACTAGTTTTTAATCATGACTTCAATTGTATGCAACTTTGACCAATTTTTTAAGTTGAAATGGTCTCTCAAGTAGGATCAATGCTAAAAAAGTTCAGGCAATTTGTATTTGGTTTGTCATTTGTTTGATGGACGATTCATGCAGCAAAATATCAAGAATGTGTAGTGCTTTAACATATTCTGCAACTTTATTTGTTGGCCACATGGCATGGTTAATGGTATAATTAAAGGCCCAGGTATACTATAAATGCGCTTCTAAACAATAGGGTTTATTTCATTGCTTGTCACGCTGTAGTAAACAGGATGCGTCATAGACTATGCAAGTCATTAACACCACTCATTAGCATAGCCACACCTCCAAGGGAAGGGCAAGCAAGTGAACTGGGCCTTTAACCATGCTGATGTGACCCCCTAATTACTGTAATCTAATTTCGAATAAATGACAACTCAAATAAATATATAAATACATCAACAACAATACTCCATCAATAAAAACAAAATATTTCTGCAAAAAAGAAATTACACAAATTGGTTAAGAGATGGAATTTGATCAGTATGTCGGCCATTTTGAAGTGGTCATAAGCACAAAATATACATTAAACTACATGGCATGAAACTGAAAAAAATATACACAAGCTGAATATATAGTTAAACATAGGCAAACACAAAGAGTAGGACTATTTTTAGTCCAGAGTGCAAGAATACAATAAAGTTAGCAGTAATGGGGCTTTTGCCCAAGTACATTTAGTACTGGTAGTCAGGTTCTCAATTTTTGTTCCCCTATTTGAAGCGTCAGATTCAGAACACTATGGTGTGTTCAATACAAGACAAATAAAACACATAAAAAAATACTTTTACACTAAATTTGAACACACCAGTGTTGTGCTTATTCATAAAAAAAGTTTTATTTAATTATCAAAGTTCAGGTGGCCTATGATTTGTTCTGGGGGTTAAACAAGCAATTTACCAAACTTACAAATGTAGCTCAACTGTATTTAAAGAGATATGATAATGAACTGTTTCTCAAGATGGCTTTATCAGCCTCCTGAAGTGAGTGAAGTACATTAAAACCATATATACAGATACAAGAAAACAATCCAAAATGAACTTCATACACAACAGAAAAAAAGGAAAATATTCCTAGAAACTTTATGTAAACCAATTTGGTCTGGTATTATTTCTGGTCTGTGCAACAGCTCTAAAGAGCAATTTTCAACCCATCACAATAGACAGAAACTCAGCTTCTATCCTCGGGGGCGGACATCCGGGCATTTTCACCGCCTGGCAAACATCGCAGTGAAAACAAAGGCCAAAAACTCGCAGAAAATGCTCCTTTGGGATTGTTGTTGAGACTCCCCTGAACAGTGCAACAAGATTAGACTTGCATGTGCAACATAATAAAAATTTGGTTGTTCAAGATTACTTCAAAGTTGAGTTTGTGTTGTTTTCTATAATTTTCACCAGCTCAACCGGCGTTCCATAGAAATGCACGGTACAGTGGTGCACGTCTTAGCAATGTGGAATGTCTTGCGACGTAGCTCCACCCGAGGATTCAAATGGTACTATTGCAAACCGAGGGGATAATATCATAGCATCCACACATATGAGAAATAGTTAAGGATGCAGCTTCTTTATGTTACATAGTATCATGCAAAGGATGTTTCAAAATCACCTCCCAGAGTTTTCACCATCATCCTTTAATTATTTACATACAACTTAAATGGAAGGATAGCAAATCTTACACAATTACATAGGCAACTGCAACATGGGCAGTTTTTCAAACAGGGCCCCCCCCCCAATTGGTG